GATAGTGCACTTTAAGTTGCATGTTCCCTTTTGTTTAACAATTCAGATTTTTTATAATGCAAATATTTTCTCCATTTTCCAACCTTTAAAAGTATTAATTTGAGGCGCACCTGGGTGGCTCTGATGGTTAAGTGTCCAACTCTTGATCTTGGCTCAGGTCATGATCTCACTGTTTGCGAGATCAAGCCCTCCATCGGGCTCTGCGCTGACAGTGCAGAGGCTACTTGGGATTCTCTCTCTTCTTCTCTTGGCCCCTCTACTGCATGCTTTCTCTCTTTCTCAAAATAAGTAAAATAAAAAAAAAAGTATTAAGTTGAATAAGACTGGTCAGCCAGCAGAATTTCTGAAGAAACTGGCCACTATATGAGACAGGTGTATGACATTGTATGAGTAGGATGATTAAAGAGTATGAAATGCATGACACTGTACGATGAGACTCCTCCCTGGGATGGCCCAACAAGAAGGAAATGCAGTTCCTACCCTCATAGAGCTCAAAGTCTCATGGATATTTAACTCCCATGAAGAAAAAAACTCTCAACAGTTATCACCAATGCACAAATGATAACAAAGAAAACATAACACGTAAGTGCTGGTTAGATAAGATGCAACAGGCTGAAGAGTCATTCAAACTACAATAATCTCTCGATGTTGAATAAAAATCCAGGATTTAAAGAAAGAGACAAAGACAAATGAGGATTAGGTACCTGCAAAAGGAAATGACACATACATGAATATAACTTCATTAGTTTCCTAGAGTTTATAAACTACACTATAAATTTAACCTCTCTCCTTTCTTAGTTACCTCTTCATTCTGTGCCTCTGCTTAAATGTCTCCTATTCTATTCTGAATTCACATGTTTCTAAACTTCAAATGTTTTTAAACTTTAAATGGTAGTTTCTAAACTTTAAATAAACTCTTTCCAACTCACCTCACAAGTCTCAACTGAAATGTCATTTTCACAGAGAGACTTTTCAGTGACTCAGTCTGAACTAAGTGTGCCTTGTTATTCTCCATCATAGCATGTCTCTCACACCCCTTACCACAATTTATAATTGTGGGTTAATTTATGACCTTATCATTTATCCTCCTTGCTAGATAATAAACTACTTAGAAACAGGGTCATTACTGCACGTATATTGCACAGCCCAGTGGCTGGTACTCAGTATATACTTGTTGAAATGTAATAGTGCATATGTTTCTGCAAAGGCTAGAAATCCATACGTAAAACTGATTCCAATATCCAAAATAGTTTTATTTTCAACATTTACTAAGTTTAAGTTGTGCTAATTTCTGATACATAGAACCATGTAACCACATAACTATATATATATATATATATATACATATATAAATACATACAAACATAATTCATATCCACAGTAATATTTTGAACTTTATCCATGAAATTAACTTCAATTTTGGTCAAATATTTCATCTTTTACAATAAACCTAATCTGTTCACAAGAATCTTCCATCCATCCTTCGTACAGGGTATGACCTGCATGTAGGTGGCAATCTTAGAGGGAGCTGCTCAAGAAAGGTGTGATAGGGCCACCCTAGTGCAGCTTTACTCCTTGCTCACAAAGACTTATTTGATTAGTCTGGCTGAGTTTGGTCAGATAGGGGGTCCCTTCTTCTTCGAACGACTGCTGTTGATTTAGCTGAAGAGGGAGAGCTCCTTGATGGAAGATCATTTTCATGTGCAAGTGTGCACAGAGCTGCGTCACATCCAAGTGGACTTTCAAGGCTCAATCTTAAGAAATAACCCAATGTCGATTCTTGACTCCTAAAAATTATGCTGTCAAGTTGGCTACAGGTGAACTATGCAACTTCCCTCTGCGGAAGAAAAAAAAAAAGTATCAGAAGTGACTTCATTTGTACAAAACTGCTTAGTGACTATACCAGTGACACTGAGAATAAATAAGCTGAGTTATATCATCAGTGACCCGATTTATTGACTCGTCATGACTAACAATACATGGGATCAATTCTAGCTCCCATGTAACAAGAAAGAAAATGTGTGTCTCATTTCAGTAATCTTTTATAAACTATTTCTTAAAACATAGGGTCACAGATTATAACAGCCACATAATTTTTTTTTACCAAAATTAATTTACCTTTTAAGTGTCCTTAGTCTTGAAGTACAAACCATAAGGAAGGCCTGTTCCAAAACTACTAAGATGAATTCATCACTTGGAGTCGGAGCTCAAGCCACTGAAATATAATTTTAAAAGGTTTTTGTTTTGTTTTGTTTTGGAAATAGAACATAAAACTGGTTATTTGGGAGTAAAGGATTGGATAGTGGAAACCAACCTAGATTGGGTCCCTAAATCCTGTTTTTTTAAGCTACCTAGTTAGATGAGATTGTGAGATGATGATTTAATCTTGATGGAATGTCTGTTTTCTCCTGTTTATTAAATGAGAGTTTAAAGTCTTAAGTCCTTATAGTTCTATGATTTATTTTATATTAAAAGTCCTTGATGTAGGAAGCATGTCAGATAAAGCAGTCTGTGGGATCAGAAGTAGCATTTGGGATCACACATAGAAAGAACTCATGTACATACAACAGGCCCTGGGAGAAATGTTAAGGATACCATCCCAGACCTACACTGAGCTCAGTACCGGACCAAATATCGCAGCAGATTTTTTTCAGGTATTTGAAGTGGTCACCTCTCCGGGGAGAAAAACCTACCTCCACTAGTAAATCCAGGTCCAGAAACTGAAAGGGGCAGAAGCCCTATCTGGCCACTGAGGTCACTTTAACAGCAATTAGCTTAATCCCCTGTCCACTTCCACCATCGTCGACTTTCACGTTAGTTTGGCGAAGCTTATGTACTAGAAGTGAAGCAAATCCAAATATGGGGAACATTCTTCCATTGCCCAAATGGGAAAACTGCTTTATCTCTTCTTCAAAATCCCATCTACCAGAAAGTCTGCCTCCCTCTTACTCCAATGGGCACAAGGCACATTTTGTGTGCAACCCTGCATCGGCTCACCCTCACGCCAAATTGCGGGCATCGCGTAAGCGTCAGGTCACCACTCTTGATAAGGTACAGATCTTTTTCGAAACACTTGTACACAGACTTCGACTAGCTGGGGGAAAGGTTATTATCTAGGTACATCGGGTTCATAGGGCATCCCGCTTCGGGACTCCCGCAAACCTGCTACGAATTCTTCCTCCAGAACTAATGCTTCGGTAGCCTCTGTATTTACACCACCCGGGAAATCTCCCCAGGATTTTTTTTTTTTTTTTTTTTTTTTTTTT